CCAACCAGATGACTGGTATCGAAAAATGTTTTATGATGTACAGAATGTACCAGGTAAATTTCCCGATTTTAAAGTTGAACATGGTGTTTTGTATAAACATGCCTTAAGTTCCATAGATTCCCTTACTGGAATGTCGGATTGGAAGATAGTTGTTCCAACTCCTAATAGAGCAGAGGTTTTGGCCACTTTTCATGACCATCCTACTGCAGCTCATTTTGGTTTCTACAAAACTTTCCGTCGAATATCTGAACTTTATTACTGGCCGAAGATGCGTCAAACTGTACGTAGCTAAATCGCTAAATGCAAAATCTGTGCTACATGCAAACCGACAAATCTTCCCCAACCAGGTTTAATGGGTAGTTATCGACGGATTGATTTTCCATTTCAACTTATATCATTAGATCTCATTGGTCCCTTATCACTTCTGTACCAGTTTGGTTGCTTAAGATCTGTTTATCTATTTTGTTTACCTGGCAAAAAAATCATAAGATGTTGTGCTATTTTGCCTTCTATTTTTTTTTATCTTATCTTAATGTTGGTTTATATCTTAGTTTATGGACTTGTTAATTTTGTTGTTTGTTTTCTCTCAAAAGTCCAACTGCATATCATAGGAGTACAGGATGGATATATGGGAATTTCCCCATCTTGAGTTCTGAGTTAAATAGATGTTTACAGAGATAATTAGGAAACACTTTAACATTTTCTTTTATTGATGTTTGCATAGGCTCGTACGTAGACTATGGCCCTAAAGCTTATGCATTCATATTCACTTACTGTGTCGGTGTTTTAGCGTTTGTTCAGGATTGATCACCCTGGATGTGTGCCCTCACTTGGCTCAGAAATATATCAATACATATTAGTTGTTCCTTGAGTGTCTCTTAGGTTGAAATTAGAATGTGTCATTTAGAATTGGATCGTTCTGATATTCAGCAGTAAGTAAGTCTGTTTAACTTAGTTTGTTATCTCCTATGTTATTATCTTCTCAAATATTTGAGTTTTAACATATCTTATTGTATACTGTTTGTTTACCTGTCTCCCTACTAGTCATATGGATTGATAGATGGGAGTTATCTTTATCTGTACCTAAAGTGAGTTTATCTTTACCTTGATGGATTTATCTCATACCTGTAATGGAGTTTATTTCGTATCTTTACCTTAAGTTTATCTTGTACCTTGCCTGAGTTTATCTCGTACCTTTACCTTGAGCGTATGTGTATCTTTACCTTAATTGAGTTTATCTCGTACCTTTACCTGAAGTTAATTATCTTTACCTTTACCTGGATAAGTTATTTCTTATTTATATCTTATGAATATATATATATCTTATCTTTATCTTGAATATAGAGTCCTAAAAATCTGTCCTTTACTGTTCTTGTCGTGAGTAAAGAATTGGAACACGTCAATAGTACAGTTTAGGTATTACAGTTAGGATCTCTTTTATCCTTCCTTCTACCAAGTGTATAGCTGGTAGAAGTGAGTTTTGTGCATATCCTCTACCATGAGTAGATCTGGACGTGCAATTATCTTTTACCTTTTGTGCATATCCTTTACTATGAGTTGGGATTGCAGTTACCTTACTTACCTTTTTTTTTAGCATACCCTATACCATGAGTATAGTGGGCTTGCTAGTATCTAAGGCACTAACAACCTTTACCGATTGTGTGCTTTCCTACCGCTGCTAGAGCAAGTAGGTGTATTGTATTATCTTCTACTTTGAATTTTCAATATGTTGTTGATATCCCGAACCATATATATGTTTAGGTTTTGTAATTTCAACTAGTTCTGAGTAATTAGGCCCTCATTGAACTCTATGGTGACGAATAGAATCTGGTCGCTCTAGTATCAACGTTGGGTAAAGTTCATAGGACTTTGTTTGAATTTCGTGGTTATGAATGGTTCTTGGAGATATTGTGTTAGGGGTTGTTAATACACACCTATAATGTAGTTTTAACGATGGTTGTTTTTACCAATACTTGAGAATGTAGATAAGTAGTGTTAAAAGTTAACTTGATTTGTAAGGTTATAGAATTAAACTTAAAATGTATATTTTTTTTTATCTTTGGTTTATACTAAATTAACATACATTATCTCATTAAAAAAAAAATGTATGACTTCGTCTCATATTCTTCGTTCCATATTTTTATTTCGTCCTTGATTTTGTTCCAATTCCTGAGCAAATGGTTGACTGGTGACGAAAATGTTCAATTTTAACGTATCAACGTTCATTGTCAGTGTTAGATCGTTCTGCCACAAAAAAAAAAAAAAAAGTTCCTAAAGTTCCTTTTTTTTTTTGCTGGAGATGAGGGAGAATGTAGCGTTTACGCTACTGATTAACCCCTTTAGAAATTTTTATTACCCGCCTACGATCGATTTTAAATCGACATTTCTCCACCCACGCGGTTAGCGCTTTGAAAGATTGGTCGAGTTTGTACGAAAACGATCAGTTTTGGTCAGAACTCGATAACGCAGACACGCCAACCGGTGAAATTTTTCACCTTCAAAGTGACGGAATTGGAGCAATAAAATAATCTGGGACGAATAAAATAATACCTAATTTAATAATCATATCACAAAAATAATAATAAGTAAATTTTTAAAAATCAAGATTTCCTAATAAAAGAGTTCCACAGAAAAGGAAGTTTTTTTTGGCGTGTTGCTGCTCCATATTCCGTCACGTGAAAATATTAATTTCACTTCACTTGAGGATATTCTTTTCAGAATATTCCCTCAAGGACTCAAGTAACCGAATCCTTAAACTAGTTAGCAACTCTCCTGGATTTTGCCGTCACTCCAGATAGACCAGTGCCTGGTTTGACTAAATTAGACTCCCCTGGGTTTGTCCTTACAGCCACAAACTGATGTAACCGTGCCAAGAGGAATTTTCCTATGGACTTATGGGGCTGTAAAGATAAGTTGTTTAACTATTTGACTTGTTGTATTACTATCTATTTACTGTTACTATCTATTTTGTTACTATGTATTATTTGTTACTATATATCTAACTCATCATATGCATATGATAAGGTAAATACCTTTGTGATAATTTAATTTTTGATAATCTAATTTTAAAATATTGGGGAGAAGAGAATACATAACATGTTTTAATTGGGTTTTTAAATAGAATATACAGAGTCTGACCAAACTCACTTTTTTTTGGATATAATATTTTTGTTAATATAATACAATTTGATATTGAGAGGGACATAAATTTAATGTGGTTTGTTTTTAAATATTATATAATGAGTATGGAACAACTCACTTTTTGGATGTAATATATATTTAATATAATTGTAATAGAGATTTATCAAGTTTGATATCTTTACAATATTGTCATTAGTACCTCATTTTAGTAGAACTAATTTAAATTTAAATGACTACCTTTTTGTGTTAAGACTTTGGCTACAATACGGACTATTCTTGTTGTATACTAATATTTCATATTTTATTTGGCCAGTGGTAGTGACTATTCATTTGTTGAGGGGCTATTAGGTCCTATTGTATTTGTACACCATCCACTACCACTGTTATTTGGCTTTGCATTATATGTAAATTGTTTATACACATATACCTATATACATTTTTTATAAATATATTTATTGTTGCTATTTTGAGTTTTATTTCAGTTCTACTAACCAGTATATAACATAGCAAAACAAGATTATTATTTAGTATTTTTGTATTTCAGAGTATTATCTCCAGATTCATTTGTTACTTCAAAATCTCAACTGAGTTGGCGCCCTTCTTTTCTCTTCTTATTTTTCTCTTTCTATAAATTTATTCCCAGTGACCTTCTTTAGTTGTATCACGTTTGATATTACCAGGTCTCATTTCGTTTCTTGTCTCATTAGCTCAGTATCCTTGCTATCTGTTTAAATCTTTAAAGCCACAATCCAGTGCATTGAAGCTAGCCCGAACACTCACTTGAGATTTAGTGTCTCTTTGGCCATTTAAATTTGTTCCTCTGAGCTTAGCCCTATTTTTAGTTTTTTTTTTATCACTTCTCTTTCAGTTCTTCTGAAATTGGGAAGTTCTAAACTTCCAAAAAACCCAATACTCCCGGAGTATTGAGCGTTTCAAGTTTTCTCAAAGTTTATCTTTAATCCTGCTCTTTCAGACAGACTTTTAAGCGAATGCATCATAGAAACTGTATCTTGTAAATTATCTGCGATTAATATATCATCTGCAAATCTTAGGTGATTTATTCTTTCTCCATCTATATGGATGCCCATATCTTGCCATTGAGTGCTCTTAAATATTGACTCTAGAGCTGCCGTGAACAATTTTGGTGAAATATTGTCTCCTTGTCTAACTCCTCGACCTAAGCTGAATTTTTCTGTCTTCGTGTAGTCATATACTTGATGTAGCGTTCTCGTAGATGTTTTAGATTAGTGTCGTGTACCTGTAATCTTCTGTAACCTTCTCGTGATCGACAAATGCAAGAACCAGTGGTATGTTGTACTCGATGCACTTTTCTATTAAGATCTTTATGGTATGCAAGTGGTCATTTGTGCCATATCCTGCCCTGAAGCCTGCCTGTTCTTTGGGCTGATAGAAATTAAGTTTAGGTGTTAGCCTCTTTGTTAAGATTTTCATAAAGAGTTTGTACATATGTGTCAAGAGGCTGATGGGTCTATAATTTTCTAATTTAGTAATATCGCCTTTTTTGTGTAACAAGACTATTACTGCATTGTTCCAGTCATCGGTTAATCTACAAATTCTTAAGAAATAACAGAGAAATATATTTCTAAACATCTATTATATTGTCCTAATTACTGTACAAATCCATTTGGAAAACCCGGATGCATTGTCCCCGATTTCACTAATTTCAATTGAATATATTTTACAAAGAAAATAATTTATGCATATCTTAAATTTTGTTTAATACAGGTAATGTATGTATTTAGTATATATGTATTAATTGGAAACTTAATATACTTTTTTCCTATTTAAAATTTTTTATAATGTTTTTGAATTATTTTTTTTCTGTTTGTGACTTTCAGCTGGATGATGAACAGATACCTTCAGAGACGTTGTTTATAAAATGGATTCAAGAACATATTAATGACAATGATATGCAACGAATCAAAACCCTGAGAGAAATTAGAAAATGTTTTACCAGATTATCTACGAGTGGTATGAATATTTATTTGTTTAATTTTATTAACTGAAACAAATATTGTTAAAAAATTGGTAAACATATAAAAATAAAACAAACAAACATACTACCCTATATTAGATTGAATATTTTAGTTCTACACTACTATATGTATGCTGTATAAAATAATACACAACATATACATAGTTTCAAAAACACATACATACTTATCAAAAACAAAAATGTACACATAATAAACAAATCCAATAGCCACTTAGCCACAAAAAAGATATAATGAAAATATAATAGTTGTCATTTATCGAAAGACAATGGATAGCAGATACAAAAGGAGGAAAATTATGGATCCTGCCCTAATCTAACTAAATAAAGCAAATTGTGTCGCACACTCATAAATATAATGCAGCAAGATCTGGTTACCGATTAACACTAATGATTTAACAGCAGGAGAGAGATACATAATTTATAATTAACTATAACATAACACACAACTAACAATAAGCACAGAAAGAACAGAATTTGGTATCGAGCGAATAACACCTTCAAGATTCAGCTCTATAAGTGTAAACATGTCTTAGACCAAGGCCAGTTAAATCTACCTATCAATATTTTTTCACCGACAATTGAGGACCGTTTTTTTAAAACTTGATAACTACATTTTTATCCGATTTGAGTTTTGTACTGTATCCCCAATCAAAAGTGAACCACCGATCTGCTAGTAAAGTCAGATATCACAAAACTCGATAGGTACACATCTTATAGGACGACCAACATGCGGCGGTTTGTTAAAACTCGATAGATAACTACATTCGGTATGTTAATACTCGACAAGTTCAAATATGATGTCATCAGTCAAACACCGATGTGTGCCGATGTGATTTATCTTGGTACAATCTGTTTGTAATAAATCTTTAGTTTGGTTTCGATTGTGGTAGAGTAAGCTTGTGCTTAGTGATTTTTTTCTTAAATCTCGTGAGTTAAACGATGGATACTGGTAAATATAGCACAAACATATGTAGTGTGGATGGAGGAAGAAAACAACGTTCTTCTAAAATAGCGCCAAAAAGCAACCGTTATAGTAAGGAGAAGTTAAGGGATGCTGATGTTGGCTGCAATCATGTTGACAGCAATAAAAGAGGAGTAGTTTGTCATGCGGGAGAACTAAGTAGGAATGATATCTTGGGTAATACTATTTTAAAGTTAGATAATTACATATTATGTAACAAAAATATTTTAGTTTTTCGAGAACTGATATACTCGCGTAACTGCAAAAAAATTGAACAAGATCAAGTAATAGTAAAGTTTATGGAGATTTGAATTCCACACGAAGAGTGATGGTCGATGATTCTAGCAAGAAGCGGAATAGAAAGGTTTCTGCCAAATATTATGTTAAAACTTCTAATGGAAACATTCCCGTTTGCGCATCCACTTTTCGAAAAGTTACTGTGAGTTGTTAAGAGTTACATTATTTGTTATTAGACATATGTAAATACTAAGCACATTTTAGGAGCAAGTAAGGATCGACTGGCTGGTATTTCAAAGAAGTTTTTATCGGGAGAGCTGTTAGATGAAAATTGGGGCGGACGCATACAAAAACAAATCGATAAAGACATAACAAATGCAATAAACGAGCTCATAAGTAGTTATAAATGCAGAGAAAGTCATTATTCTCGCTCCAAATGTAAAAGAAATTACTTACCTCTGGAACTAAATGTACAAACAATGTTTAATGCATTTATTGCTCGCACAAACTTTAAGTTTTCTTTGTCAAAATATAAAAAAATCTTTTATGGAGAATTTAATCGTGGGTTTGGCAATCCACATTCTGACACATGCTTTATTTGCAAAGAATTTTTGGTAAACATAAAAAAAACTAAGGTATTAGAGCAAAAAAATGATTTACGCACAAGGTATAGACTCCACAAAATAAGGGCAAAAGCCTTTTTTAAACATTTAAACAACCACAAGGAAAACATAATCAAAGTTTGCTTTGACTGTCAACAGAACCAGCCATTGCCGAAAATGTCTGTTGGAGAAGTTTTCTACTCGCGACAAGTTTGGTTATACAATTTGGGGATTGTAGAAACACAGTCAGGACGTGGTTGTAATGAGGTATCTTCTGGACTGCTGCAGTATCTTTTTCAACTTGAAAAAAAAAATGGCTGAAGAAGGCAAAAGCGGGCTAAATTTGGAGCTATTTTCCGATCCATGCAGTTCCCAAAACAAAAACAGCATCCTTTTGACCGTTCTTATTCATTTTTTTGCAAAAATCAAAGGTTTTTAGTAACATTCAACACTTTTATCCCATAAGAGGTCATAGCTTCATGCCCGCTGACAGAGTTTTTGGCAGGGTAGAAAAGGAATATAGGAAAAAAGAAGAAATCATAGTAGCACAAGAGTACTATGAAATCCTGAAAAAACATGGAAACGTTAATATTTTGGACAAAGATTGGTAAGTTTTTGATTAAAAATCTTCTTCACAACAGATAATAAAGAAAAAACTCCCATTCAAGATTTCTGAGGTTCGAGTGCTGGTCTATGAAAAAATAAACAACAAAGTAGTTTGTAAGGTACGTACTACCTATGCTGGTAGTGACGTACAAGAACATGATGATCCATGTGATGATACAGAGGTAGATCTTTGAGAAAAACTACATAATTACATATATTATATACATCTTTTATTTTATATTCATTAGAATTTTGTCTACCTAATATTAACAGTTATTTTTTGGTAGTTATCGAGTTTTGAAAAAAACTTCATTTTTCTTTTATGTCTTTTGGATTAATACAGAATGGTATTAAGTATGTTTTTGCGTGTATTTATTCTTGCTTATGCTCTTTTGCAACTTTTAATGTTAGTTTTCCATTTTAGCAATAAACGTTTTTCTGAAACAGAAAAAATGCTTTCCTGAAAAAAATGATTTTCGCAGATATCGACTTTTAAAAAAACGGTCCTCAATTGATAACATTTACAGGTTAAATTCATTTTTCACAATTTTTATTTCATATTTTTTTTTAGAACGATTTCCAGATTGAATATCGAAACTTCAAAATAAAACAAAAAAAGTAATTTTCATTACACTCAATTGTGGTTTATTACCGTGTATAAAATATTATATTTAAGTTTTTCGTTTCTCTGCTTATTTGTGGACACAACAATTTTCTATTTAGTCTGTCATAAATACACTGAAGTAGACGAATACTTCTAGTAGACGTGTTCGTGTTTAAAGGATTAAGACAAGGTCATTTATTATCATTTCTTCTCTTCAATAAAGTATTAGTTTACCATCAGAAGACAAAGCAAGATTAAGGATCAAACTACGGAAGGATCAGCAAAAATTTCAATAATGTTGACTAATGCCAAATAGCGTTTCAGACAGCGGCGGCTCGTAGCCTAAAAAAGTGGTGAAAACGAGGAAACCTTGCTGGAGCCAAAAGGAGTTCTGGTACCTACATCGCGCCCAAATCTCATTAAAAATTCTTTAAAACAATGCAGAGTTTAGGGCTCTAATAACTTGAAAACTGTTTTTTAGGGCACTTAGTCTACTTATACCTGGAGTATTTTTATTCTGAACCTTCGACATTTCATTGATTGGCAAATCTATCAATAATATCCTCGTAGAAAAGATGCTTCTGCATAAGTTAATTCAACAGTTCTTTGTGAAGTGCGATAACAGTTAAACTGGATAGTCTATCTTGTGAAATGGTGTTTCTTGTAAAAGTTTTTAACCTTTTTAATCACGAAAAACTTCTTTCTACGGAAACGCTTGTCGATGGAATTGTCAGAATTAAACAAAACAAATTATAGGCTTCTGCAACAATGTATTTAATTGGTTGTAACTTTATTACCAATTCTTACAAATTCACATTTTTGTAATTTTCGTCGGCGTAAAGAAGGCAGAGCTTACTTTTAAGTCTTTGATGTTTAGTAAATTGTGTGCCATAAAACTCAAATAAATTTTGAGAAGCGTCGGAAGGGAAGGTCAAACTGTATGACTCAAATTTTGTTGTATCTGCTAAGCTTACGAATTTTAATTTATCACAATCCTGAAAACGTATATCCATTTCCATTAAAATATGGTCATATATTTCAAAAAATAATGTTCTGTATTGAGTAGTAATTACATTCTTCTTGCTCATACCATCATCACACCTAAATCGTTTGGAAGTATTAATGAACATCATTGTTCTTGCTTTTTTAAAAATAGAATTAAAAAATTCTTCATTTCTTTTATCAATTATTAATTGACGAGTTCTATATCTGGTTTAAACAAAAATTAATATCTACTGACTTTTTTTAAGAACATCATACAAAATATCTGTTATATATGAAAACTATCGCTAAAAACTGTTGCTAAAACTGTGAACTCAAAATCATTTAAATCTCTTAAAAACCCTTTAGCCAGCTGAACTGATTTGCTCTTGACTCTTTTTTAATTTTTCCCAGTCTTCAATAATTACACTGATTAATTTTGAATTAGACGACCATACATATTGTCTCTGTAATTGTTGGCATACGTCTAGCCGATGTAGATGCAAGAGCGTACGGATGTTTTGCTGAACTATGAAAAAAACGATGGGATTCCGGTAATAGTTACAAAAAAAATTCGACATTTTGATATTTTCTTAAAGCTCTGTTGCAAAACAATATTGTCGATGGGCTTATAATAGTGTGCACTAAAAAAATAAACTTAATACTATGACTAAACTAAACTAATAAATACACTACATAAACTATACTATATAGAAAATAGCTATATAATAGACTAAATTTCATAATATTGTTGCTGAGAGAAATTTCCGAAAAATAGGAATACTACATACACATTAAACTAGTGGGTGAAGACGGATAGATTATTTTTCAATTGATCTTCACTTACAAGTTTTCTTAGCTATCACTAACGACAGGCTAACGTCACGTTGCCATGGCAACCGTGAACGCTTGTGTAGATGAATTCCACAATTCAAAAATGATATTCACCTATTCCTGAATCGTGCACGGCTAGTGACACAGGTCAGGACTTGACCGTCAAGTACCTACCGCTAATAAAGCTAGTTATCTTTTTTAATTTTTAGATTAATTAAAAGAGAATAAATAATTAATTTCAGAATTTAGATATAATAGGGGAGAAGAGGGAGACTTGATCATATGGGAGACTTGATCACTCTTTAAAATTTCAGCAAATAAGTAGCCTAAAATTATAAAACCGGCAACAACGCGTAGCTGTTAGTATGTCTGAAGATCCCATTTAATTTAGTTTGTATTAGCATCCACAACGAAGAGCACGTGTTTATTATAAGTTTTTTGTCCCTACCGAGAAGTGTTTTCAGAATTATTTCAAGTTGATTTTCTTTAATATTCGTTAAGGTGAGTTTTTCGTATAATTTTTATTTAACACTATAATCATTCAGTTTACGTTTTGCACATTTTGCAATGAGTTTTAGTTTGTCGTCATATTTTTATAGACAAAAATATTCAAATGGCGTCTTGGGGGAGACTTGATTACATCTTATCTGGGAGATGTGATCCCGGGATCAAGTCTCCCAGAAACTCCTTATAGATGAGTGTTTTTTATTTTATAGATCAAGTCATTATCAAATAAATGTTATGACATTAAAAAGATACGTTCGCCGACAACGATCTGAAAATGTTGAAATAACCTATTATCCTGATTACAAAAAGGCTCAAATTTTTACAAATGCAGAGGAAAATATGTTTAAAGAGTATTTAGATGTTGCCAGCAAATTACACCATGGCCTTACAACCAAACAAGCAAAAGAACTAGCATACGAGTTTGCCGTAAGAAATAATAAAAAAATACCTGCTTCGTGGAATAAACATAAGCAAGCCAGTTACGACTGGTTATACGGATTTCTGAAGAGGATGAAGACCTTATTACTACGATCTCCGGAAGCAACCAGTCTTACTAGAGCAACTAGCTTCAACAGAAACAATGTATCAAAATTTTTCATAAATTTAAAGACAGTTCTTGAAAGCAATGGAATTGGACCAGAAGCAATTTTGAGCATAGACGAAACTGGCCTTTCAACTGTCCATAAGCCAAAGAAGATTATTGCATGCAAAGGTGCAAATCAGGTTGGTAAAATTACGTCAGGGAAACGTGGACCAACAGTAACTCTTTGTGGTGCAATCAACGCAATTGGAAATCATATACCGCCTTTTTTGGTTTTTCCTCGAAAACTTTGGCAAGATCGCATGATTGATCATAGCCCACCAGGGACCACCGGCGTAGTTTATGAAAGTGGATGGATGACCGCTTCTAATTTCGTCAAATTTTTGTAACATATTCAAAAACATGTAAAGGCGACTACCGACAATAAATCTTTAATCATAATGGACAATCACGATAGCCACGTTAGTCTGGAAGCAATAACGTATGCCAAAGCACACGGAATAGTTCTTCTTACCATACCACCACATACGTCGCATAAGCTCCAGGCGTTAGACACGAGTGTATTTGGCCCTCTCAAGAGTTTTTATAATACTGCCTGTGATGATTGGATGGTGGCGCACCCAGGAAGTACAATTACAATATATGAAGTCGGAGGATGCTTAGCTTACGCTTTCCCCCTAGCTTTTACCCCACGTAATATTGAGAGTGGATTCAGAGTTACGGGTATATGGCCTTTCAATTGCAATATTTTTACCGATGAAGATTTTATGTCGGCGTATGTTACTGATCGCAAAGATCCGGAAAACAAATCCACTTTATCCCAGTTTGATGTTGCACAACCAGCCATAGATAACAATAATCAACCCTCCACTTCTACTGGCACTTTCACCACCCCTGAAATTATTAGACCACATTCCTCAAGTGGATCCATTTCACATAATCAACAACTACGACGAACACTAATTGAGGACGAAAATCAGCCTTCTATTTCTACTGGTACTTTCACCACACCTCAAATAATTAGATCTTATTCTGTAAATGAAGATACTTCACAAAATGAACAGCTACAACAAACATCAAAAGAGCACAATAACCATTCTTTCCCTTCTGTCACGTTTACTAGCCCAGAAATGATTAGACCCCACCCTAAAGCCGGGCCCAGGACTTCAGCAAAGGGTAGAAAGCGAGCAACTACAAAAATTCTCACAGCAACACCAGAAAAACTTGCGCTTGAAGCTGAAGTTAAGGCTAAAGAGAAAAAATTAGAAAAAGAGCAAAGGGCCAAAATAAGAGCCCTAAAAAGAATAACTAAACAAAAACTTAAGGATTTGAGGGAATCTTCAAGTTCGGGGGGCAGTGACATTATACTACCATCGTCAGAATCTGAATATGATCCTAATGATGAAATGCAAGTAGAGACAGATAGTGAATGTGAATCGGAAGCAGAAGGTGACGAGTTTGAGTTGAGTGTGCAAGATTGGGTAATTGTCAGCTTTGTCTCCCAAAGAAACTTAGTCCATCGATACGTAGGACAGATAATGGAAAAAAAGAACGAGGATTTTAAAATTAAATTTGCCCAAAAAAGGGATGAAAAAACCTTTAAGTGGCCAGAAAAAGAAGACATGGGTGAAGTCCCACGTGACCAAATTTTAAAAAAGTTACCACGCCCGACTTTTAGGAGCTACAGTAAGCGCATAGGATGTTTTGTCTTTCCCAAATCACTAAGGATGTTCAATATTCGAGAATAATTTTTTTTCTTTTATCATTTTTCAGTATAGTTTTTTGCCAGAAAGTGTTATATATTTTTAATAACATTATTTGTTATAAGTCATGACTGAGTAAAGTTAGTTTTCAGCATCCAATTTTTGGTTTTATTTTAATATCGTTAATCTGGAAAGGTATAATCAAGTCTCCCATACACAAGGATCAAGTCTCCAGGAGTACGGGGAGACATGATTAGTTTCTCCATGTTACGAAATTCTACAAAAACTTGTTTTTATTAGCAGTATATTTTTCGGGTGTACAATATCCAAAACTGTGATAAATTTGTAATGTTCCACTAAATTATCAAGGTTCTAGATTGGTTGTAAAAGGAGCTATCTGAAAAAATGTAACGGTGGGATCAAGTCTCCCTCTTCTCCCCTAATGTTGCTTTTATTGTTTATGTATTTGTCTCAATTTAATTATACTTTTTGGTGAATCTCACCTTCACCTACTTTACCTGGCCGGCCGCCGCTGGTTTCAGATTGTTACAAAGAGTGATGATATGACTACAAATATATGAAAAAATATAATAAAAGAATATATAAACAATATTAAGGTATATAGTTAGAAAAGGTGAATTATGAATAAAGAGAAACCAAAAAAATACAGGTTTGTGAAATTAAAATACTTCGAAGCATAGGTAGAAATACATTATTATCGGGGTTTATATGCCATAGAGGACGTAAGAGTGACCTCATATCGTTTCACCCAACCACTGAGTATCTTCATATAAACTTTTTAATCCCGATTTCTTAGTGATGGATCGACTCACAACTCCCTGAAAAGTTATTATGAACCCATCTGATCCACCTAGGAATATTTGAGACCCTGAATAGCAGACCAGGACATAAGAGTGTACTTCTAAGGTCTAGTGCAGTGCAGTATAGTCCTCCGTAACCCCCAAGCATCCCACCAGTCCTCACCCCACGCTATTGTTCAGACATTTGTTGAGGCTGCTGTTATCGTTTTTTACCTTTTGAGATTGCCTCGGAAAAAAGTGGTAGGTTTTTTATGCTTCTGCATGTGTATCTTCATATATGCTCTCCCGTCCAATGGAACTAAGACTTACTTTGACATGTGTGTGTGTTTTTTATCACAGCTTCTTAATTTTCTCAGGATACGGTTAGGGTGTCTTAGTTCAGTTTATATCTTTCGGGCGTTCTCAATAATTATTATTTGTATTATTTTCTATTGTTTAGTTTTACTATACATATATGTGTTGATAATATAGTAAGGAAACCTCGCAGCGCTTGATGATGTAGTAGAGGAATGTCGCAGCTGCCCTATGCTCTTGTTTTCCATTGCCTGTATCCTTTTTTGTTTGTCTTACATATTTGCCCCTGCACTATCGAGGCTTGTATGTCGGTAAACCATTGATATTGGCGGTGGGAATGCGTGCGTACACAGCGGGGTACAGCCGGCGGCGATAGCTGGTGGTGTGCTTTGCTACAGACTAATAATTTTGTTGTTTCACTCTGATTCAGTGTACACGTCTCTCTTCCGTATTAGAGACCAAGTTTGATTAAAGTAGCGTTGATAAGGAGCAATATGGTCTAATTCCTGGTATGATTCTAGCTGCTACATCTTGCTCATAACTTGTTTTCGACTGCTATCACTGCTCCCAAGTATTTGAATCCTTTGACATTTCAAAATTCTATTCATTTATTGAAATGTTTGTCCTTCAGGCCAATTTCTCTGGCCCGCATTTAAAAAGGATACAAACTTCGTATCTCTGATGGATTGGACAATCGTGTCAACAGCATCTACAAGAACTAACAGTACCTTTACTCCCTGATTTAGATTTTTTAATTTTCCATGGGGGAATTTTTGTGTTTCGTAGTATTAAATTGCCCCATCCTATTTATATACAGACTCTTTTCTTGCCTCAATGACTCTCATATCCTCAATAACTGCCTCAGTTTCACACAAAATATCAGGAATAAAAGATTCCTAAACTGCGACATGACATATAAACTGAGATAAAAAATTACAAATCGCTGGCCCTGAAAGCCTTTTTCTTCTTTAAATGCTGTCTCTGAATCGGAGGTTGTTGATAATCACCATCACATGCATTATATGTATAATTAGTAATTGCGAAAAATTGAATCAATCATCAAATAATGATACTGTTCCATGCCTATATGATCTGAAAATGTCTATAGCTATATCTAAATATTGTAGCTAAAACAATTCTACATATTTTTATAAATCGTAACTGGTTATATTTTGTTTTAGATATTGATGACGGCTGTGAATATTCCAATGAATTATCAAAATGTTTAAATTTAGACATAGAATAATGTAATATATATATATATATATATATATATATATATATATATATATATATATATATATATATATATGTATATGTATATATATATATATATATATATATATATATATATATATATATATATATATATATGCTATAATTGGTATAACCTATTTAATCTTAATATTATGCACAACTTATTTTTGAATTAATTAAGTTTATTTTGTATGTTACGGTTTAAGAATAAAATTTTGAGTAGTTTGAGTGTATTATTAATAACTTTTATATTAGGGGAGAAGGGGGAGTTCTGGGACAAGGGAGGTGTGGGACATTTCACATTTCTCACCTTTATATGTGAACTATCAGTTCTGTACTTTCTCACTCGATGTATTACTGGTTGTAGCATTTCCTATTTGTTTAGTGTTGTAAAAGCACATGTGTTGTGATCAAGAGAGAATTTTATTGATTTTCATTATTAAAAGGTAAGAATTTAACTTGTTTTTAAATTATTTTTTCTGATTATTATAATATTTCAAGGCAACATAGAAACCAACACAATGATGCCCGAGCTTTTATTTAAGTTTGTAAATTATATAATACAAAACCCTGGAGCACCTTGAGGTTATGTTTGTTCACTGATTTATTGTAAAATGCTCCACTGGGAGGACTGGGACATAGCATGCGTATTGTATTATTAGCACGTGTATTATTTTTAATTTGATATTATTTAAATTCTTTTAATAGTATATTTTTCCTTTGTTATAGTGTAAGATGCCACATAAGTGGAAGAAGAAAAATCCTGGAAGGACTGCTCCATTAAAGTCTCGCATTGTGGAGGCCATTCAGCAGATTAAAAAAGGAAACAGCATAAGGCAGGTAGCAAAGACTAATAGTATTTCAAAATCGGCTCTTCAACGCCATTTGAAGAAATATGATGAAGCTCCCAACAAGGAATGCGTTGTTTTTTGTTCTTATTTGATATGTGGTATGGTATTCTCCGAAAAGCAAGAATTGGCTCTAGTAGAATACATCCTGGCTGCAAGTAGAATGCATCATGATTTAACATCAGTTCAGGTCAGAATTCTAGCGTGGCAATATGCAAGTGCCCTGAAATGTAAATTCATGGAAAGTTAACCATGAATTAATGATTACCAAATGGCAAGATATATGACTGGTTCAGAGTCTTCATGGAACGCTACAAAGAACTTTCGCTACGTTCTCCAGAAGCTACAAGTCTGGGAAGGGCAACAAGCTTCAACAAAACCAATGTTGATATGTTCCTAAATAACTTAAAAACTATCTATGAAAAGTATAATCTCACCCCAGATCGTATACTGTGATGAAACAGGAATAAGTACGGTCAATATTCCACCCAAGGTTGTGGCTAAGAGTGCTGAAAAGCAAGTAGGACAAGTGAAATCGTCTAAAAGGGGGAGCAAATCACTGGCCTTTTTGTAGTAAATGCAATAGGAAACGTTTTACCACCTGTACTTGTGTTTCCCAGAATCAGATATAAGGAGTTTTTCTTAAATGGTGCTCCTTCAGGCAGCATTCCACTAACTAGCAAGACAGGTTGGATGTTAAGTGATCTTTTTAAACAGAGTCTAGAACACATAATTCATCACACAAAATGCACTAAGGAACAACCAATATTGTTAATTTTAGACAACCACGAGAGCCATGTGGGCCATGTGGGTAGGCCACCACATAGTAGTCACAGACTACAGCCCCTCGATGTATCTGTTTTTGCCCCATTTAAAAGTCAATATAACAGAGTTTGTAATGATTGGCTACTGAATCACCCAGGTAAAACCATATCCATATACTACATAGGTGATCTTGTGGGGAAAGCTTACCCTTTGACTGTAACGCAGAACATTATTGCTGGTTTTCTAAAAACTGGCATCTACCCTTTCAACAGTGAGCCATTCACCGAAGCAGAATTTCTAATGTCTTCAGTAACTGACCGGCCTCCTCCATCTGCACAAGCTAATGGTCCTTCTTCCTCAGCAGAACAAGAATATCCTGAAAATGACCATACAGCCAGTTCACATCATTTCTCAAAAGATCCTTCTACATATTTTGAAAAAACATCAACTTCTGAAGACTCAATGGCACTCCAGAACATATAATGCCAATGAAAATCCTGATTACACCTGAGCAAATCTGACCATTTCCTAATGCTGCACAACACAAAGAAGCTCGAAGAGGAAGGAAGAGAGGCAGAAGTCGTATTTTAACTAGTACACCAGAGAAAGCGGAAACCGAAATATTAGCTCTCGAAAGAGAAAGGAAGAAGTCTGGTAAACTATCTGTAGCCATCCGCAATATATCTAATAAAAAGAAAGTTTGTGAAGATTCTGAGTCTTCGTCCGAGGAAGTACAAATTCATCATCTGTATCAAGATAGAGATGATGATCTAGAAATATCTCTGAGTTCTGAGGAGGATGAATGGAAAAAATAGATTGGAATAATAGTTCTGTGAATCTTAAGACTGACGATTTTGTGCTTGTTAAATTTTGTACTAAAAAGTCTCTTGTTTATTATGTTGGGCGAGTATTGAAGTGTGATTCATTAGATGAAGTTGAACTTCAATTCATGCGTAAAAAAGGAGGGATCTGGAAATTTTATTTTCCGAATGTGGGGGACATTAGCGTTATTGAGAAACAGGATATATTGCTTAAATTGCCTGCACCAATATCATCTGGAGGTACAGACAGAGTAAAATCATTGTTTGTATTTCCGGTTAAATTATCAAAATACAATGTACAATAAAAAAAAGTTTCTATTGTGTTTAAAAAAAAAACATTTATTATATCCTGTCCCGGACCTCCCTACTAGTATCCCACTCCTCCCAGTGGTATGGGACATTTGCAGCTCCTCACAATATCCATTATACTTCATTTTAAAGAATATCTATATCAGCCATTTTTTAAAAATTGAGTAGGCCAAAGGACTATCTAACATATCCTAGCATTATTATTTCACGATGACTTAATAAATAATTAAAAAAATATATATTATTCAAAAAGTGTCCCACACCTCCCACTTCTTCCCTACACTTAATTTCTTCCTGGTTCGAGGTTAGTTGTATAAATCTGGATTCTACTTTTCTTTCGATTCGTCTCTAAAATTGGTTATCGGAGTCGCAAATTTTTGCGTTAAAAAATTATTTGAAGGGCTCGGGTGTAAATAATGGTATCTGACAAAATTGTCGAAATTAAGTTTTTGCATGAAAACAATGGTATATGCAGTTCTAAACAGGTATCTGTTGAGAACTGCATATTTCGTTACTAGTTTAAAAGATGGCGCTGTAAATAAGTTGCAAATGGCAGCTAAGTGACATCGAATTTGCGTAAATAATCACGGTTCGTAGACTTACTACGGTTGCCTCTTACGCCTAACAAATGAACATTAAGCCGGAACTGTACTCTCGTGACGTAATTTGAATCGTAACATTCAGCCCTGTGATGTATCAAAAACGTTATAAATAACGTGCACTTTAACCTGCATTTACGTTAAATTCTAAAAATTGTGATTCACATATAACGTTTATAATCTAAAGTTTTATAATATATATAATATAATGTTTATAATCTAAAATTAATATATTTTCACACCAGCCGAAAACACATTGAAACTGTCATTAGTGTCATATTTACTTGTTAAATAAAATTTACTTGGTAGAAAACTAAGGAATAGTATAGTTCGCAAATTTACTTCCAGAATTAATTTACTTTGCGTTTATAATACGCAAATCTGTAGAGTAAATAATTTTACTTTCAAACTAAATTTTACTTGGCTAGTAAAATGTTTTATAATACCGGGCATAAAAGTCGTATAAACAAACCAGACAGCTGTTGATTTGAATAGAATTATTAATTTTTTCAGTAAATTTCAGCATTAGGACTACGTTAAAGTATTTTAAATCAAATCGATATTGTTCTGGTCCTCAATGCAATTAAAGATCGACAAAAGATATGTCGCTATTTCTGTTTCCTAAACTGAAAAACTTAAAGAAAAAAATAATTTATTATTGAATTTTTTAAAGACCAATCATGTGCTATGATATTTTCTGACAGGTGGTCTCAAGTTAAGGTTGATTTCATGTTAATCCAATATAAAATAAGGATCACTCGAAGAATGGCGGGTTTATCGGTCAAAAATTGGAAAAAAAAGACAAAGATGATGGCTACTTCATCTATTTATTGAAAACGTTTCGCTATCCAATTTGATAGCATCATCAGTTCATCTAAAAAGAACAATATAAAAAACCTAACATCCAATGAAAAGTTATTAAGTATGTTACCTCAAAAAGATATGTAGCAGTCAGTGATATTAACAATTAGAAGCTTACGACAATGGACATTGTATAATTATGTTGTATAAACAATAAATTGAACTAAATAAAGTTAACAATTTTCATAAAATTAGCACAGCAAAAAACAAGTGGTAGTTGTACATGTATGTAAAAAAAATTATAAGTAAAAACTTATCATATATAAAAAAGTTACACACAGTTAGTGTGGAAAAGAACTAAAAGATCCAAGAATGCATTTCCAACAGTAAATCAATAATTATGATGATAGATAAGATATTAATATATATATATATATATATATATATATATATATATATATATATATATATATATATATATATATATATATATATATATTAAATTGTCTTTAAATTAAAGTTGTTTTTCTTTTTATACTAAATTATTTATTTGCTAGGCAGACTCTACTTACTAGTTACCCATTTAATTGATTATACATTAAATTTAGAATACAATATTTCTCATCATTGTATTTACTCATAAACGTTAAGTCAGGTATTTTCGAATAGAAAACAAAAAAATTTAGAGAAAAACTGTAAATTGATAAAAAATATTTATTTTGGTTTATTATAATAATTAGCTTTTACAAAAGGCATTTTAGAAATATAAGCTTCATATATTTTGTCCCTTATCTTCAAATTCACTTGTGTACCAACTTTACTATGACTGGTGGGTACGTAACCCATGGCGATATTTTTCCCCAGGCTGGGAGAAGGACAGCCAGATGTTATTTTACCCAATTCTTCACCTTCTTTGGATAATATAATAGCTCCTTGGCGAGCTGGTGGTCCGGATTGTGATATTAAACCTACAAACAAGATAAAAATGTTGTTATTACTTAAAGACTTTAAAAATGTTTAGTTAAATGATAATGGGGAACCATTTCTTAAAAGTTGTAGCTTCTTGCTTTTGTCCATTTTTTTTTTAATAAAGCATTTTTAATAAAGCATTTGTAGCGTTTACGCTACTGATTAACCCCTTAAGAAATTTTTATTACCCGCCTACGATCGATTTTAGATCGACATTTTTCCCCACACGCGCAGTAGTCGCTTAAAAAGGAAGATTGATCGATTTTGTGCGGAAGCGAAGCGGTCAGTTTTGGTCAGAACTCAACGCAGCCACGTCAACCGGTGAAATTTTTCACCTTCAAAGTGACGGAATTGGAGCAAGGAAGATAATTTGGGGAAGAATAAATTAATTCATAAATAAAATACATATCTTAGTAATAATAATAAGTAAAATTTTTAAAATCAATAATCTAAAGAGTTCCACATAAAAGGAAGATTTTTTTGGCGTGCTGCGACTCCATGTAAGTAAATAATTTTATACGTATTATCTCTTTATCATACAATCAAATTTATCATTGTATTTAGTATTTCTTTAGAGATTTATTTTTGAGTTCCGAAATAATTTAAATATAAAATTTCCTTGATTTACTTGCAAAGAACAGAAGGTCATTTTTTTTTATATAGTCAAACTTAAATCCCGATCTATTTCATATCTTATCATTAAGTTTTTTTTTTTGGTTCCCTTTTATCTAACTTTTTTTGGTGGAATATAAAAAGGTTCTACAAGTGTGGGACAGCCTTCTGTATTCTGCGCATGTTCTTTTCATGGCGCAAGCCTGTCATGTCTACGAAATGAACTTCGGAAATTTTGACATGTTGACATAACCTAATGTTTTAATGTTTTGGTGCAGTCAGTCTATGCTGCTACACGTATTAAATAAAATAGTAAGTAAATTAAATAATCATTTTAGATTCCGTCACTTCACTTGAGGATATTCTCTTCAGAATATTCCCTCAAGGACTAGTAACTAAATTCCTGAAACTAATTAGCAACTTCTCTCCTGGATTTTGCGGTCACTCCGGATAGACCAGTGACTGGTTTTGTGCACAGACTCCCCTGGGTTTGTCCTTACAGCCACAAACTGATGTAACCGTGCCAAGAGGAATTTTCCTATGGACTTATGGGGCTGTAAAGATAAGTTGTTTGACTGTGTAATTTTTTTTGTTACTATCTATTTTGTTACTATGTATTATTTGTTACTATATATCTAACTCATCATATGCATATGATAAGGTGAATACCTTTGTGATAATTTAATTTTTGATATAATCTAATTCTAAAATATTGGGGAGAAGAAAATACATTACATGTTTTTATTGGGTTTTTAAATAGGATTTCAAGAGTACTGACCAAACTCACTTTTGCTATATTATTTTTTTAATACAATATTTTGATATAATATTTTTTTTTGATATAATACAATTTGATTTTGGGAAAGGAAATAAATTTCATATGTTTTTTTTAACGTTATATAAAGAGTATTAAAGACTCACTTTTTTTGGATATAATGTAATAATTGTAACAGAGTTATCATTGTTGATATCTGTACAATACGGTAATTATTTCTCATTTTAGTAGAACTATTTAAATCTAAATTACTAACCTTAGTGTTAAGACTTAGGCTACCCTACGGACTATTCTTGGTTTATACTAATATTTTAAACTTTATTTGGCCAGTGGTAGTGATGATTCGCTTGTTGAGGGGCTATTAAGTCCTATTGTATATTTAAACCATCCACTACCACTGTTATTTAGCTTTGCATTATATGTAAATTGTTAATACATATATATCGATATACACATTTTTATAAATATATTTATTGTTGCTATTTTGAGTTTTATTTCAGTTCTACTAACCAGTATATAACATAGCAAAACAAGATTATTATTTAGTATTTTTGTATTTCAGAGTATTATCTCCAGATTCATTTGTTACTTCAAAATCTCAACTATCGTTGAGTTGGCGCCCTTCTTTTCTCTTCTTATTGTTCTCTTTCTATAAATTTATTCCCAGTGACCTTCTTCAGTTGTATCACGTTTGATATTACCAGGTCTCATTTTTTTCTTGTCTCATTAGCTCATTATCTCTTGTTATTGTTGTTTATATCTTTAACGCCACAATCCAGTGCATTGAAGCTAGCCCGAACACTCACTTGAGATTTAGTGTCTCTTTGGCCATTTAAATTTGTTCCTCTGAGCTTAGCCCTATTTTTAGTATTTTTTTTTTTCATCACTTCTCTTTCAGTTCTTCTGAAATTTGGAAGTTCTACACTTCCTAAAATCCAATACTCCCGGAGTATTGAGCGTTTCACATTCTAAGAATAACATTTAAGCATCTAAAATCCATATATTTTTTATTGACGGGCATTTTATTGTCCCATAGGTATACCCAACAGCTTTAATTAGTTTTAAAACATCGCAAATCTAAATTTCTAAAATTAAGTTATATTCAAGTGGTAAATAAAGTCTGAATAAACGGAAAACTGTCAAGGCATTTCTAACAAATAGTGGACAACTGCAAGGATATGTATTATAACGCATTTTATTTAATAAAGCTTGTAAAAAATATAAAGGATGCAAATATCAACACCATTCGTAACCAATCAAGATGTAATCGGTCAACACAAAAATAAAGTAAAAGAAAGTTTTTTTAATCTCAAAAAAGCAACCAAGAAGGTGGGATTATTTATTTTTATATTTAAAAATAAAATATATGACAGAAAATACAGCGTCAAGAAGGTATCCTTAAAATTCAAGATAAGCGTATGAAGAAAGTGCATGAATTTATTCAGGATGATATTATCTAGGCAAACTAGTAAAGGCAGTTAACGATAATTCCTCTGAAATAAAAAATAAAAGCACTGAAAACAACAGTTACTATAATGAGCTGGCCTCACTTCTGATATCAGGTCGTTACAGTAGAAGTATAAGACTTAATATATAATATAATATATATATATATATATATATATATATATATATATATATATATATATATATATATATATATTAAGGATCACTCAGACGAGTGGTGGGTTCTTATATCGGTCTCAAGGTAGAGAAATAAAAAGACAAAGTTGATGGCTACTTTATCTATTTTGAAGACGTTTCGCTTTCGTATTCTGAAAGCATCATCAGTTCATCTAAAAAGTACACTATGAAAACCACACAAGCATGGAAAAGATGTTATAAGTGTTACCTTAAAAAGATATGTAGCAGTCCAAGATAATAAAAATGTGAAAAAGCTCAAGTAAATGGACATTATACGGTAATATTGTATAAACAATTAATTAAACTAACAACAATTAGGAATTTATTAAAACTTAGCACAGCAAAAGAACATGTGGTCTAATACACATGTAATTGTAATTTAACATTAAGCAGAGAATGAAGAACTAAGAATATCATAGATTCACTTCTAACGATATATGCAATATTTATGGTTTGATCTTAACCTTTGATAGCATTATTAAAGAGATTAATATTGAAAATTTAAAAAATATAGTGTATAATGAAGTTACCAATCAAAGCCTCACGACTGCCGCCGGTAAAATGGCGTTAGATTTCACGTTGTTTACGCCGGTAAAACGGCGCTAACAACGTGAAAAGACAGCCAACCTTGAGGTCATAAAACTACGAAAGAGCAACACGGTTGAGATACCAACCCTAATTATAGAGAGGTGTATTTGAAAAAGTAAAATGAGTTTGGATGATAACTCGTCTGTAAGAAACCAAACAATGAAAGAAATTGGTATTGATAACATCAATTTCTCCCATCAATCAGCTTAGAACGAACAAAAAAGCGAAAGTCAGTCCAAACTCATATATATATATATATATATATATATATATATATATATATATATATATATATATATATATATATATATATATATATATATCGTCAACTTTGTAGCTGGATATCAGCCACAGGTGAAAAACGATCATAATTTCCAACAGTCCAAGGTTCATATACTTGGAACTGTAATTTATGAGAGATTCTATGAATCAATTTAATTATTATGTATTATAATATTTAGCCCTGAAACAGTTCACACTAATTTGTGTATATGCAATAATGAGAGCAAATGCAATGTAAGTTGTATAAGTCTATCTGAATTAAGTAGAGGTAATGGATTTTGGGAACAGCTATGACCTTGAACATTTCACATAAACTTGTGTACTAAATAGGCATAATACATAGCTCTTGTCAAAATCCAATACATTAATAATATAATTACATATCTTCGATTCTAAAATATTGTAAAAGACTTTAAAGAGTCTGAGTAAGAAAAGAGATCTACTTATATTCTTTGTGGCATTTTCAAGGTCATAGCTGTTCCCAAAATCCATTAACTCTAATAATATTGATTTACTTTATTTATGTTATGAATTTATTTTAATATGTTAATTGTATTTTAAATTATTTAATACAAATGTGTTAAACTATACACAATACAAGACAATTATAGAGTAAATAGCTTAATAAGCCTAATTCTGCAATATTAAAGCATGATATATTTGGCGCAAGTTACTTATGTCAGTTCTCTTATTGAGAGCATTCAGGTGTTTAAGAATTGAACACATTTCCTAAAACTGTCTTTTAACGAGATTGCGTTAAGTGCCAAGAATCTGAACTTCATTAAAATCCACCTTATGTGTGGTATTGATAGCATGTTAGGCCAAAGCACAGGTGTGCTTTGATAGATTAATATCACTACGATGTGTAGTGAGACGCCCTCTTAATGATTTCCCAGTCTGACCGATATAACATGAATCGCACTCGGCACAAGGTATATTATAAATGGTATTAACTTGTTCCAAAATGGACAAGGGTGTTTTAGTTTTTGAAAACAAATTTCTAACAGTCTTAGCATTCTTGGCCGCAATTTTGACAGGAATGTTATTCTGTTTATACAATTTAATAAGTTTCTCAGTAACTTGAGGAAACTACGGTAAAGATGAGTAATGGGTGGTAGGATTCCCAAGATCAGCATCAGGCTGAACAATGCTATTAATTGAATTATTTGATAGTGTTCTAAGTTGGTCACCATTGGGTATGTCATTAAACGAGGAGCCATAGCTTTGTGAGTAAAGCTATTTATTAATGAGGGAAGAAGGATATGAATTATCAATTAAAATTTTTCTTAATAATTTAAGGGATTCCCTTCGATTAATCGGATGTGTCAATTTATTTAGTCGGCAGCTTAGAGCTTTAATAAGGTTTAATTTATATTTCATATGATGACAGGAATGGTAGTTAAGGAACCTATTAGAGGCCATCGGTTTCCTATACCAACTTGTGGTTAGGGTGTTATCTCGCATTCTAATGACACGCATGTCTAAAAAGGGAATACTACTGGTGACGGTGTCCTCAAGTTCAACAGTGAACAGTAAACAGTTTTTATTTCTTCACCTTGATACCGATGTAAGAACCAGCCACTCGTCTGAGTGATCCTTAATATGTATTGTATTGACGGTCGTACCTCTTTTCCGATACATATATATATATATATATATATAATATATATATATATATATATATATATATATATATATATTGTTATGATATATAAAATCAAGAAAAATATTGGTTTGTTTAAAATATTTCAAAATTCAAAAACATTAAAATAATTCAGATAAGTAGGATAATACCCAACAAACATTTCGAAGAAGGAAAGTATTTAAATTTTTGGATTACCTGTATTAAACAAAATGTAAGCTATGCATAAATTATTTCCTTTGTTATACTATACTTGAGTGACCCGCATAATTTTAAGTGAAATCCCAAAGACAATTGAACCGGGTTTTTCCAAATACATTAAGGCAGTGATTAAAGACAATAGACGAGATTTGGAAAGTGGTTTTTGTTAGTTTTTAAGAATTATAGAAAAATATTATTTGTAAATAAGTTTTAGGAAATTTTATAATTATAGGTAAAAATTTGTTTGTTATCGGAATGAAAGAATGGGGAATTGTGACGAGTTTTGATTGGTGGAGATTAAAAAAGGTGGGATAGGTATGTAGAAATGAAAGTTTAGCTAGAATTTTGAGGGAGAAAAGATAGGCAGTTGGTTTCCAAGGGTGCAAGGCGAACGGCCGTTGTTCTCGGGTAGTTTCCCAGAGGTAGGAAGCAGTAGCAGTGAAAGTTTGTGAGTTTTCGTGTAGTTAGTGTATCTGACAGAAGCTGATCCAGTAAAATATTGTAAGTCATATTTTTCTACTTATATTCCAAGAGTCACTGTTCAGGCCAACGAGAGATTCAGTTTATCTTAAAGAAAAGATATTCCAAGAGTCATTTTTCACTCAGGCCAACGAGAGATTCAGTTTATTGAGAGAAGAAGAAGCTAGCATAATTTGAACGATTCGTGCATTTGAAGGAGATCATTAAGGACGAGATAATTGCAATAATTCATTGTAAGATTGCTGATTACTTAGGGAGCGGCCACGAGTAAATAGTATAGTCTACAAATAACAAGGATTTGGACCACTCATCATCAGAGAGAGATAGTTTTGTTTTCTGCAGTTTTTCTTTCATTGATAACACAATTTTTTACACTTAATTTAGAAAGGATATAAATATTTTGATTAGGAGATTTAGAGTAATACTTGGATTTTGAGATTTCAACTAATATTGTTTGTACCATTAATTTTGATTGTTCACGTACGTAGAACAAAATTTTGAGAATTATTATATGAGATTTTGTTTATTGAAAACTTTTGAGTGTGAATTATTTCATTATTTTTATTTCAATATATAGTGTTAGATCATATGTGTTTTTTATTATTCCGGTATTCTTTGGACCTTACCTTTCACATGTAATAGCATAGATATTGAAGCACGAATTTAACCCTGAGATAAAAGAATTAAAAATTGTGATAGAGTCATAATCATATCATTTAAATAATTTTAATTAATCAAAAAATTAATTAGCTAAGTATTGCTTGGCGCACCAAGACTTGAAATATCACAATAATATATAGATATATATATATATATATATATATATATATATATATATTATATATATATATATATATATATGTATATATATATATATATATATATATGTATATATATATATATATATATACCGGGTGGTGAATCGTCCAAGGGGCCATAGGAAACTCAATGGGAAATTTTAAATTGTTGAATTCCTGCTTCCCTAATCATTTTATATCAAAAGTCATAAGAAATTATTTGTAGAGGACTAAAATCTGAATTAAAAACAAATATTATGACTTTTCTACGAATTAAACGTAGTTCAAAATTTTGCAAAAATATAATTCATTTTTCAGGCCATCCCTACTTCTAGAACTTCTAGTAACTTTTATAACATCCTACCCAGTGATAGAAGCAAAGGTAGAAATACCAAGAAGTAGGAGATGCCTCACCTTTGGACACAAGCAATGGTAATATAAGGGGTAGAATAGAAGAGGTTGTTAGATCCGATGCGACAAAGAGGGTCACATAGTTTTGGAGCTCAAGAAATAAACAACAAGATGCTTCAACTGCGATAGCCTGGGCATGTGGTGAACTCAAGAAGATGCCTAAAGTTCATCTGATTGGTTGAAAGAAAAAGTCACTGAGGACTTGTCTCAGAGAGAGAATGCATGAGTGAAAACAGTACGGAAAAGACTGCTAAATAAGTCCGAGGCTAAGAAATGACAAACACAACAAACGAAACGAGATTAGAGAGCTGGAGGAAATGCAAATCAACGTGGGAACTGCAAGATTTGCATATAATCTAGCCCAGGTTGCCAAAATAGAAAAGTACATCGACTTGCTGGTGACGGAGAAGCCAAACTCAACAGTGGTGAAAAGAGAACGTTTTGGGGATACAACTGAGGGGGTTACAAGTACAAGGGGACGATGGATGAGACCATTCATGAAGTGGTGAACGGGAGAAAAATGCGTGGTACTGAAAGACCACGCATGCCACACCATACTGAACGCAAAAGCAGCGAAGTGGGTATCTTCTATCACGGATACTCGAGGCAGGGTACTGACTGACTGGGTGGGTACTCTGGATCTGGTGGTACTGAACACAGAGCCCACGTTTGTCACGAGAGGTATAGGTACATACATCCACGTGATCATGGCGATACAAAGAAAAGCGGCGAAAGCAACAGACTGGAAAATGTTGCCAGATTACTCCGGAACGGATCATCGGTACATCAGATTCTCGATAACCAAAGCGGGAACGACTAACGCGGACTAACGTGCATCTGGAACGTCGGGGGAAAAATTAGTAACGGGAATGACGGGTAAGTGTACAAGTAAGTGAGTAATATATGCATATAAGTGAGTAATACCAGAGAACTACGTTCGTAGTTCTCTGGTAATACTTGCATAAGTAATATAATTTAAAATGCAAAAGATTATAAAGAACTTTTTTATAATAAAAATTAAGCGCAAATTATAAATAAAGTGAATAATAGATATTTTATTTTAAATTTTCTTTTTTTATCATTAATGCTCTTTTATCTTTTAATGAGTATATTATGATGTTTCAAACTCTGACAAACGCGGAATAGTCGTAGAAAATGGAAAAATTTTAGAAAAATATGTTTAAGTTACCTATTCTTTTAATTGATGATCCTTCTTTAATTTGCTTAAGAATAATATCTGCTCCAGGAAAATTTTTCAATTCTCTTCTCTTCTTTGCAACCAGCCACGTTAAAGCTCCCTGTATTGGAGTAGTGTATTCGTTGATATCATTGCCATACAAGCATAAACCAGCTTCTAATCTATAAATCAAAGAATGAAAATATCAGTATTATATGAGATATACCTATGCTTTAAGAAATACTGTAGCAAGTAATAATTAACGAAACAAAGAAATCTTATTAAAATCCGAATGCTACTGCAATTCAACACGGTCCATTTTCAGTTTCGGGGCACTGAGGTCTATTTCTAAGGCTGTTGTAAAAATAAGCAGTGAAAATTGTTATTTTCTTTTAGCTTTTTACTATTTTAAATCTTTTTATACATTCGTTAAAGAAATTCTTTGAATGTGCGACCTGTCGATGAATCTCAGCGAATATTTTCTCTTAGTAAAAAAATTACGTTTTTCTGTTCCAACCATTCCTAGGTCCTTCTATTATAAACATACGATGCCTGGTTAAGCTAAAATGTTTAATCGTCGTTTCGGGTATACATTTATTACCAGGTCAGGTCCTTAAAAGACAATTTCCTGGTATTAGCGTTGGTAAACAGTTGCTCTGTAGTTGCAGATAATATGTTCGAGCGCTACTGTACATTTTCGTAGAATCTGCACGTTTATCACTTTGCCCATTTTACAGATATCATATTTTATCTGAGTCTTCGGTGCACGTTGATAACGCAAATGATTACTTTAAGTTCGGTCTTCTAAAGCTGCAAGAGCACTATTATGTAGTGAGGCAGAAGTTTTTGTGTATCCGCTTATACGTATTTCACCCCAAAACGGACGTTGATAGAGATGTTATTAGAGACATGGGGAATCTAAAATTGCAATCCACAACATATCCCCTCAACTAAGCAAAAATTCTTAGCGAATTGGTTTCTTGTACTCATACAGAGTATATCGAAATAAAAGGAAAGACAGTTAAGGTTTGATTTCACGTATAGTGCGCCTGTGTATCCGCTTATATGTATTTCACCCTAAAAGGGATCTTCAGAGCGGCTCTTCACAAGCGCTATGAACGTGAAAATAATCTTTTCCGTCATAATAGAAGCAACTATAAAGTGGCTTCGATCTGGACGCAATAGCGACATCATATAAATAAATCCGTAAACTGATTTTCGAAACTAAATTCAGATTTCTGCTTTAAACTGTGCCTTCTAAGAATTTCAAGGTAAAACAGACGTTGATAAAGATGTTATTAGAGACATAACGAATCTAAAATTGCATTCCATAACATATCTCCTCAACTAAGCAAAAATCCTTAGCCAATGGGTTTCTTGTACTCATATAAAGTATATTGGAATAAAAGGAAAGACTAAAGAATAAAGAATAAAGTATATTAAAATTTGATTTCATGTATAGTGCGCCTGTGTATACGCTTATACGTATTTCACCCTAAAAGGGATCTTCGGAGCGGCTATTCACACGCGCTCTGAACGTGAAAATAATCTTTTCTGTCATAATAGAAGCAACTATAAAATGGCTTCGATCGTTTTTTACTTGCTTTTTGGTATAACGCAGGATGATTCTGATTCAATAAAAAGAATATTGACTCTTTTCTTCTCGAGACCTGTTTATTACCAGTAATTTCTTTATGCTCTAGAGCCCATAATAACTCTGTGGCTGTTTGTTTTCTATACCGTAAGAAAGGGTTTCCAACATCATCCGAGACGCCTATTTACGAAGATATCACCTGAATAGATACGGAAATCAAATAGATTTTATTCTGGTAAAATCTCGTTGGAAAACTTGTTTAAGGACATTAAGATCCATCAGGTGTGGATTGCAATAATGATCAGAAATTTCTATTAGCTAAAATACGTAATGAAGTAAGCGACATTTGAAAAACAATAACAGATTTACAACTGTGGTAACGAAATAGCACAAACTCAAATGTTTCGCTTATCTGGTTTAGCCGTTCAGTGACGGTAATCATTTCGACTTCATTCGCTGCTAGTATAAGTGTGTCATTTGAGTATTGCAAGTTGCTGTTTTTTCTGCCTCCTATAACGATTCCTCCATCCCATTCGTCTAGAACTGAGAATATATTTAGAAAATATGTTTTATAATAATGGTGATAGTATGCAGCCCTTTTAAGTTCCTTTATTTGCTTCGAACGCATCTAAATATATTCCGCAAGTTTTTATCATACAGATTTCTTTTAAATAATTGGTGGATTCGACCGTTACTTGATGGAAATTCATTTTATGTAACAATAAAACACTGAAAACTTTGTTTTCAAACTTCCACAAAATTTATTTTAACTCTTATCACTACAGCGGTTTCGGCTGATTGTCTTTCTCAAGTGATCTATTTTTGGCATGCGTTTACAATTTATAGTCTCTAATGAAATAGGTTGAGGAGGGGAGAACTGTTTGTCTTAAGTTGGTCATTCAGAATTATATCTGTGTTTTTTTACTTTGTTGATTTCCACGGATTCTAACAAAGATAGGTTAAGGCCTTTATTTTGAATGTGAAGAATTTTAAATTTGTCATTAAAAGAATGATTATAATCTAGAAGGTGAAGTGCGTATATCGAATCTGTTTTTCTATTATTGAAAGCCCTTTTATGTTCTGCTATTCGTTTATTAAAGTTTCTACCAGTTTGACCGATGTAAGTTTTTGGGCAGTCGCCACATTGAAGTTTGTACACACCACTATTTAAGTGTTTTTTATTTTGGCTCTTGTTATTTTTAATATTGCCTCGGTTGTTATTTGTTCGGAAAGCTGGTGTTATTCCTTTCGTTTTTATGTGTTTGGCTATTTTTGTTGTTATTTTGCCTGTATATGTAATTGAGCAGAAGGTACTGGGTTTTTTCTCTGGTGGTGGAAATACTAATTTCCATAGCCTATAAATTGTAAACGTATGCCAAAAATAGATCACTTGAGAAAGGCAATCAGCCGAAACAACTGTAGTGATAAGAGTTAAAATAAATTTTGTGGAAGTTTGAAAACAAAGTTTTCAGTATTTTATTGTTACATACAGATTTCTTATGAGTTTAACTAGATGGTTAGGTACTCCCATATTTTCCATTATACTCCAAAGGGGATTTCATTTTACTGAATCAAAAGTCTTTGTGTAATCTATAAAACAGAGCAGCATTGTTATGTTGCGTTCTCTTGCTTTTTCTATTATTTGTCTGGTGTTCAGTATCTGCTCCCGGGTTCCTTTTCCTGGTATAAATGCGCATTGTTCTTCGGCGGCTATCGGATTTTGCTTGCATGAGTAATAAGGGCAATAGTTCTGTTCTTGCTAATTTTTTAATAATAGTGATAAAGGTGGATTCGCATCACTCATCAGGCTATTTACCTGTAATCTATATCATGTTGCACATGTTCAGTATTACATCTAAGCCAATCTCGTCCGTTGCTTTTAGACTCTCCGTTGGTATACCATCGATCCCAGGGGATTTTTTGTTTCTTAGATGGTTGAGAGCCTTCTCTACTTCTGCTCGTAATATTATTGGTTTTGGTATCTTTTTGAAGTGTCTTTATAATTCTGTATTACATACATATTAATAATTATTGTATCAGAATAGTATTACGAGCTTATTACTATATAATATTCCTTATACTTTATTAACAAAAGAATTTTAATGCCATTACTGGATATAATTATTATCATTATATTCAATAACTTACACAATAAATTTGATGACTCTTAAAAATACTTAGAATGAAGAATGTCTTATATTTTAAAGTATTACTAAGTCAAATGAATTTCATTAAGGGAAGAAACATTTACAATGTAACAAAGAAAATAATCCTAGTTTAACTCGTTAAAACGGCTACCTATTTAGAAGACGAAAGATCAAATAAAGAGTTTATTTTATAATAATTATAGTTTATTCCTCATGCATTATTCAATATAAAAAATAATTAATTAAATTCAAATATATATTTAAAATATTTACCTTAAAGAATCTCTGGCACCAAGACCAGCCAACTTCACATTACTATTTTCTAATAGGGTTTTGGCCACTTTAATAGTTTCAGAAGCAGGAATGGAAATTTCAAATCCATCTTCTCCTGTATAACCACACCTAAAACGTAAACTATGTTTAGATTTGTTCTTATTGTGGTTTTCTTATCTTTCTTAAGAACTCCTTTTTTTATCCACGTTTTATACCTTTTTGAAACTCCTACACAAAATGGCAACCGACACGTCCAGCTCATAACAACTATCATTTACCGAGTAATTGGAGGTAGCAGTACCAATAAAATCTACCACCCATTAATATTTCTCAACGTACAAATTAATAACTTGTATTGAACACGGGGAACATGAAAGCAACCTCCACGTAGATTGTTTTAAAGTTCATCTGTTAAAGCAATCGGGTGTCACCAGCACGATAGTATGTCAGGTGTTATTTATCATCTTTTTTATCTGTGATGAACTCTAGTGATGAATTTATTTCAATATTTATTGACTTCTTTTTATTTTTTTAACAATTTACTACAATTTCTGTAGTTATAATATTTTATCCGGGTCTTTAGTGTTGTTAGCCGTCTTAATCAGAATGACTGCTAGTTTTTCATTCGGAAGACGTCATTGAATATAATCTTCCAGTTATAGTTAAATCATCATTACAAGTAAAATCATCATCATCATCATCATCAGTGGTGCTACAGCTCTAGTTGAGCCTTGACCTTCTCCAGTCTATTTCGCCAGTCGTTTCTGTTCATCGCCAACCGTTGCCAATTTGCCGCGCCGATTTTCCTTGCGTCCTCGTCCACACCGTCCCTCCATCTCAGTCGTGGTCTGCCTCTACTCCTATTTCCCACTGGGACCGATAATAGAGTTCGTCTGGGTGGGTAATTTTCATTTGCTCTTGACACATGTCCAGCCCATCTAAGCCTACCTATTTTTATGAAGGATATTACATCTCTACCATTTACTATTTTTTTATACTTCTCGTACAATTCGAAATTATATCGCCTTCTCCAAACACCATTCTCACAGAATGCGCCCATTATTCTTCTTAGTATCTTCCTTTCGAAGACGAGCAGAAGATTTGCGTCTGTTTTGGAGATGGTCCATGTTTCTGACCTATATGTCAGCACTGGTAGGATGAGTGTTCGATATATTATTAGTTTGGTTTTCTGGCTTAAATCTCTGTTTTTTAGCTGCTTGCTTAGTCCAAAATAACATTTGTTTGCTAGCAGTACCCTCCGTTTAACTTCTTCAGATGTGTCATTATCGTTTGTTATGAGAGAACCCAAATATGTAAACTTATTTACTACCTCAAAATTATATTGGTCTATACTGAAGTTTTGTTCGGCGTTTCTAGCTCTATCTCTTTTATTTGGAATAGATGCTAACATTTTGGTTTTTTTCTCGTTTATTTTAAGGCCCATATTTTGTGCGGCTGTCAGGAAGGTGGAAGTCATCTCTTTAAGTCCTCGTGTAGTACGTGCAATCAAATCCAGATCGTCAGCGTAAGCCATAATCTGCGTTGATTTATTAAAGATTGTTCCCCTATTGTGTAACTCGGCATCTCTTATAGTCTTTTCTAACGCTATATTAAAGAGAAGGCACGCCAGCGCGTCTCCCTGCCGTAACCCTGCATATGTTTCAAACGCTTGTAACATATCGCCTTGTATTTGCACTCTGCAGATCACTTTACTCATAGTTGTTTTTACGAGCCTTATTAATTTATGGGGAATGTTAAGTTCATTCATGGCTTCGTATAATTTACCTCTTAGGACGGTTTTTAATGAATATTAAATTCATTGGTTTTTTCTAAGATTTGACGTAGCACAAAAATCCGTTCAATTGTTGACCTACCTGGCCTAAAACCGATTTGATAGTCACCAAGGATTTCTTCCACGTACGTACTTAAACGGCTGTACAGGGTGTTGGAGAATATTTTGTACATTGTATTCAGAAGAGTTATACCCCTATAGGGGTATTACAAGTAAAATTCCTCAGGAAAATACATAATCTTCACAATAATATTAGCTTATTTTTTTTATTATTTCTTATTAAATTCAAACGTAGAATATATATATCTATACCTGTCGTTTTTGTTGTTGTCTTAGCGTCAGATAATTGTACCAGTGTTAAATGAAATGAACTCTGCCTTTTGTGATGAACTTTTCTATAAACAGGATGTAAAATCTATTTCACTTTTTGTCGTTCATTAGAATATCTATATTTACTTTCTATATATTACTTTTTATATAAGTTTAATGAAGCTTATAGTCTAGGCGAGATCTGTTTTGGATTGGACATTTTCCATAGGAAGCTATTTTTTTGCTGGAATCCCTTCAGGATACGTCCAGTATCGATAATCACGATATGCGCCAGTCGCAAACCCTGTGCTAAATTTTTTATTTAACAAAATCTGAAAACAATTGAAAATTTCTCATTTTTTTGGTCTTATTTTCATTTATAATTCGGAAAATAGTGATCCTAGAGAAAAAATAATACGAAGCTAAAAGTTTCGTTATTCAATCTTACACAATATTTTGTTAGCTAGAAATTGAAAATTTAATGGTTATTGTTGAAAAAATAGCAATAATTGGAAAAAAAAGTACAAAAAAATGAAGTTATTCCTTTAAATGTTTTCGACTTTCTAAACTTGATTTACAAGTTCCATATTCCGCCTAGAAAAACTTTTTAATATGTTTAAAACGTGTGCTAAATTTTGTTAAGATCGGACAGATAGGTTTTGGATAATAATTTTGCAATCCAGCCTACTGGAAAAAAATCGCAAATTTTCAAATTCCTAGTAGGCCCTAAATAAGGACCTCCGATAGTTGCAATTTTTTTTTACATATAAAGGAAGTCTCAAACTTTCAAACGCTTTTTGTAAAATTCAAATCGGTTCACTAGGAGAGCCTAAAAATTTTTTATATTTATAAACAATTTTTAGGCTTATAAACAATTTAAATAACTTTACGAGCTTTAAACATATCAATTTCAAAATACACTAAAGAACATTAAAGAACATTAAAAGACGCTTCTTTTAAAAAACAAAAAGATACATTCGGCTTACTGGTTGCCGAGATATTGAAGGTCAAAGTTGGCATACATTTGCCATGTACCATAAGTGATAGAGGGCTCGTTTTTAAACAAATACCCTCGTCTTGCCAAATACTTTTTATATGAAAAGTTTTACGTAATGCGCTTCATGGCAACATCCATAAAAAAGACAAATAAAAAACCGTTTTCGCGTAAAATGTCGCTCGGAATGCATGAGAGGTGGTGGTGAGGGACATTCACTTCAAATGTGAATCGGCGAGTATCAAGTAGGGGACCATCAGTTTGTTTAATTTCGGGTTTTGAAATAAAAACAAAAGTAAAGTGCTCCAAAATCTGTAAGGGCTTGTATTGAAGGCTTGTATGTTATACAAGTAATTGCATTTTTTCTTCATGTTTTTTTTTGAGCTTGCAATTTATACATTGAAGTAAATTGTTACTTTTAGTAAACAAATATGTATTTATAAATTGTTAATAAATAATTTGAATTGTTAAAACGAAGATAATTTTTTTTTTGTAAAAATCAAACATTTTAAAATAATTAACATTAAAAATAATTTATTTCTGCAGTTTTATCATAATAATGACATTATTTGATTTGAGAATATATTTTGATTCGAAAGTGACGTGTATATTGTATATTGACGTGTTATTATACTGCTGTGTAATGCTCGAAACTGTTTTTTTTTGAGCTTGCAATTTATACATTGAAGTAAATTGTTACTTTTAGTAAACAAATATGTATTTATAAATTGTTAATAAATAATTTAAATTGTTAAAACAAAGGCGAATGAAAAAAAAAAATTTCTTTTCATAAATAAACTTTATTTTGACTCAATCTTCAATAATTTTTTTTAAGTCTTTTTCTTTTTTTGGACAAGAATCTTCAGGTCTTATTTCTTCCTCAAAACCTTCATTTTCCATTTTATTATCTTCATCCTCGATCTGTGAATTTAATGTTTCTTCTTCTTCATTTGTAGCTTTATCTTGTGCCTCTAAAAAATATAAGGAATCCATCGACTCCATATCCATATCTCGTTCAATATTTCTTTCAATATTTTACTGAGATCAATATTTTTACATGTTTGACCATTGCAGTGAAGACAATAGTCAGAACATTTGAGACCATATTTGATACAACTGCATGTTTTTGTACAAAGTTGTTTACATTTGCAACTAATATTTCTGAATAATGAGTCAGGTAGTAATACTTGCTCAGTTTGTATTGGCTCAAGACCATTTTGAGTTAGTTCCCACCCCCACTCAGTAGCATTCACGTTATTTCCAAGCCACTGCTGTACTTGGAAATATACACGAAGCGAGTGTTGCTCAGCTGCAGATTGTGTAGGTGGCAGCATGGACAATTGAAAAGTTTTATTTTTGCAACCTTTTTTAAAGGACAAGTAGCGAATTTTATTCAATGTAAAATCACACTTTGAGTGGCCCATATACAATGCCGATATAATTTTGCATCCGCTGCTTTTAATTTCTTCCTTAGTGGCACTTTTTTCATTAAAAATGGTTGCTTCTTGCCATATATCATTATTTGTTGAAACCAATTTAACAATTTTGCTTTTTCCTTGATAAAAAAATGCAGAGGTTGTATCACAACCAGAAAATGCGTGTAAAAAGCCCACTAAATTTTTTAACAAAGATTTCGTAGATTCACTTATTTTAAGTGCATTATTGAAAGAGCTGTAGTCATAAATTTCTTCCGATTTTTTTCCTTTGCTAGGTTTCCAGAAAGAAATATTTTTATTTTCATTTTATTAGTTTTTGAAATACAAAATATTTTACTGTTAAAACGCACGGATTTGACAATATAACTACTATATAATAGCGTTGAACATATGATCAAACTACTGAAAAACGTGGACAGCACGCCTTCAATACAAGCCCTTACAGATTTTGGAGCACTTTACTATTTGTTTTTATTTCAAAACCCGAAATTAAACAAACTGATGGTCCCCTGCTTGATACTCGCCGATTCACATTTGAAGTGAATGTCCACCACCACCTCTCATGCATTCCGAGCGATATTTTACGCGAAAACGGTTTTTTATTTGTCTTTTTTATGGATGTTGCCATAAAGTGCATTACGTGAAACTTTTCATATAAAAAGTATTTGGCAAGACGAGGGTATTTGTTTAAAAACGAGCCCTCTATCACCTATGGTTACATGGCAAATGTATGCCAACTTTGACCTTCAATATCTCGGCAACCAGTAAGCCGAATGTATCTTTTTGTTTTTTAAAAGAAGCGTCTTTTAATGTTCTTTAAGTGTATACATTTTGAAATTGATATGTTTAAAGCTCGTAAAGTTATTTAATTTGTTTATAAGCATAAAAATTGTTTATAACTTAAAAAAAAAATTTAGGCTCTCCTAGTAAACCGATTTGAATTTTACAAAAAGCTTTTGAAAGTTTGAGACTTTCTTTATATGTAAAAAAAAATTGCAACTATTTGAGGGCCTTATTTAGGGCCTACTATGAATTTGCAAATTTGCGATTTTTTTCCAGTAGGCCGTATTGCAAAATTATTATGCAAAACCTATCCGACCGATTTTAACAAAATTTAGCACACGTTTTAAACATATTAAAAAGTTTTTCTAGACCGAATATGGAACTTGTAAATCAAGTTTAGAAGGTCGAGCAAATTTCTAGCTAACAAAATATTGTGTAAGATTGAATAACGAAACTTTTAGCTTCGTATTATTTTTTCTCTAGGATCACTATTTTCCGAATTATAAATGAAAATAAGATCAAAAAAATGAGAAATTTTCAATTGTTTTCAGATTTTGTTAAATAAAAAATTTAGCACAGGGTTTGCGACTGGCGCATATCGTGATTATTTATACTGGGCGTATCCTGAAGGGATTCCAGCAAAAAAATAGCTTCCTATGGAAAATTTCCATTATGGTCTGAATTTCTACAGATGCCGCCTAGTCTATTAGGAAAAGCTGGGGGAATACCGCGCACGGGGGAATATCGCGCATCATTATATTGGTAACACAGCGTAAGTATTGCAACATTCGACACAGTGCGCCGTCTTGTATTTGCTAGTCGACCACATGTTTGTAATATGACTGCATTCGTAGTATTGGTTTAGATAAGGTCACAGATTGTTTGTTTTTCAAGACTTTAATGTAATTTTCGACTAATCTTTAACAAGCGGTAAGTACTTTTGTTATTAATTTTTATTAAAACTATTCAGTGATTATTTTGCTTTATATGTATAGATAATTTCACGTACAAAAATAATGCATTTTATTTAGTCATTAACGAACAGTGATAAGTTAAGTTAGGTTACCCACTTAGGGGGAATACCGCGCAGCTGTGTTGGGGTAATTTCGTGCTGCGCAGTATTACCCCGTGTTTTTGCTGATATAGTGTTTTTATTGCATTTTAGATTCCAAAATGCCCCGTGCTTACGTTCGGAAAACTAAAAGATCAAAATGGAAAGAAGATGAACTAAAAACTGCGATCACTGCTATACGATCTGGGCGAAAAATACGAGAAGTAGGTCTATCATACAATATTCCAAAATCCACTCTACGTAACAAACTAAAGTCCAATAGCCATAAAAAAAATAAAACTTGACAGGAAACCAATTTTTAATAATGAACAGGCCATAGCCAACCACCACAATAATCCACCACAGCCAACCATGTTAAAAAGTTGGCGAATATGTTTTTTGGAATCACACCATCAGAACTAAGGCGTTTAGCATACCAGTTTGCTGAAGAGAATAAAATAAAACACCGTTTCGACTTGATAAAGAAGATCACTGGTGAAGATTGGTTAGAACTCTTTTTAAAACGTCATCCAGACATTAGTGTTAGAAAACTCGAAGGTACCAGTCAAAACCGCAGTTCTGCATTTAATAAAGATGAGGTTGAACGATTTTTTAACAATCTGCACACAGTTATGGAAAAGTTCAAATTTCCTGAGAGTCGAATTTTTAATGTAGATGAAACGGGCATTTCTACGGTCCAGAAACCATCAAAATTTTTGGCACCAAAAGGTCTAAAGCAAGTAAGATCCGTAATATATTGGGAAAGAGGGAAAAATGTTACCATAGTATGTCAGCTTGTCCCTCCTATGTTCATATTCCCTCGAATGCGTAGGAATCCACAATGAATGATGAATTATTTTTGGACTGGTTAAAACATTTTTGTCAGCATATAAAGGCCTGGAAAGAAGATCCAGTGCTTCTCATATTGGATAACCATAGGAGTCACATTTCTTTGGAGATTTATACTTACTGCAGATCACACGAAATTGTTATGGTTTCACTTCCCCCTCATACCTCACACAGGCTTCAACCTCTTGACCTAACTTTTTTTGAGCCCCTAAAGAATGTTTTTAATCGTGAGTGCGACTTGTATCTGAGAACTCATACACATGAAAAGATCACACATTTTGAACTTGCTTCCATTTTTAACAGAGCATACCTGAGAATTGCCACAATGGACAAAAAAATATCCGGGTTCCGTGCCACTGGAATATGGCCCATAGATCCTAATAAAATCTCTGAAGATGATTCCAGTTTAGTAGATCACGCAGATCGTGAAAAACAACACTCAGAAATTTTCACTTCCACGCCACTAAAAATGCAATTAGAAATAAAACAAGAACAGAGTAATATTAAGAAAAAAGCTGAAGAGGCCAAAAAAAATGAAACTAAGAAAAAAACGACAGGAACTGTAGGAAAACTGCGCTTGGAGAATATATCTCTGTATTTTTAATAAAAATTTATCCAATCTGGCAACATGCGCCAGTCAAGGGACACATGCATTCAATGACGCTGTTTTAGGAGGCTGACTTAAGCTACACACTATGTGACAGTGAACCTAAAATGGTCAATCATATTTTGCATAACTGCCAGGCACTACAACCTCCGGGATTTGTCGTCTAGTGTCTTAAGAAATAAAATTGTATAACTTTTATTCCAATTTAAAATAACCAATTACTATTTAACTGGGAATAAGCCACAATTAAATATAAAAATCGTTATTTAACGATTTTTATATTTAATTGTGGCTTATTAACAAAAAAATTATTGACGTTTCAATTTCCACTTCGGAAATCGTTCTCAAAATACAAACAGTAAATTAAACAAATTTTGTTTATTTTTACATAGTGAAAAATTCTTCTAATAATTTAATTTTATCTGACTCATTTATATTGACAATTTAGACATACATTATGCATTTTAAAGTAGATGACTTTAAAATAATATTGCCAATATTGTTGAGTTGCTCTCCTGGGACGACTTTACTTATAAGATAGTTCATTCGATTACATGAAATCAACTTTAACTTGAGAATATCCGTCAGAAAAAATCATAGCATAATAATTCATCTTTAAAAAGACAAACACATGACATAATGACAGTAAAATTCTCCTGTTAATGATTCAATAGTAAATTATGAGGGACAAACCAGGAAAAAAACCTCATAATACTATCCCGACATGGTAAGTATTTTTTCGTGCATTTAGTTTACCTTCAATAAACACCAAAATTCTGATTTTATATGTTTCGTTATTTAAAAAACATAAATGATGTATCCTCTATATGTTACTGACTTACTAATACTGGTATTCTCTTATTAATAACTTCCTCTTTCAATATTGATAACCAGATCCAACCTACTACATTCTGCCGAGGAATTTGCGACACAATTGGCTTCATTTAGCATAATTAAAGCCGTTTCTTTGATTTTTCTTTTTTTACCATCCGTCTCTTTTAGGACTACATTTGAATTATTCCATTGAACCCTATGTTCATTATCCCATGCGTGTTTACATATTTGAGATCTATTAAATTCTCTATTTTTAATATAAGACTGATGTTCACTTATTCTAACATTTAATGGCCTTGATGTTTCACCTAAATAAAACTGATCGCATTCACAAGGTATTTTATAAATGCAATTCTTTGTCCTTTCTTGTTCATTGTTAGGTTTGGTTTTGGACAAAATAGATCTCAACGTGTTTGTTGTTTTGAATGTTGTTGAAATGTTGAATTTATTGCCTATCCTTTTAAGTTTTTCTGATAATCCTTTTATGTACGGGATTGTTAATGGTATGGTTGTATCAACGTGTTTGTTGTTTTGAATGTTGTTTAAATGTTGAATTTATTGCCTATCCTTTTAAGTTTTTCTGATAATCCTTTTATGTACGGTATTGTTAATGGTATGGTAAAAAAAGAAAAATCAAAGAAGCGGCTTTAATTATGTTAAATGAGGCCAATTGTGTCGCAAATTCCTTGGCAGAATGTAGTAGGATCTGGTTACCAATATTGAAGAAGTTATTAATAAGAGAATACCAGTATTAGTAAGTCAGTAACATATATAGGATACATCATTTATGTTTTTTAAATAACGAAACATATAAAATTAGAATTTTGGTGTTTATTGAAGGTAAACTAAACGCACAAACAAATACTTACCATGTCGGGATAGTATTATGAGGTTTTTTTCCTGGTTTGTCCCTCATAATTTACTATGGAATCACTAACAGGAGAATTTTACTGTCATTATGTCATGTGTTTGTCTTTTTAAAGACGAATTATTATGCTATGATTTTTTCTGACGGATATTCTCAAGTTAAAGTTGATTTCCTGTAATCGAATGAACTATCTTATAAGTAAAGTCGTCCCAGGAGCGCAACTCAACAATATTGGCAATATCATTTTAAAGTCGTCTACTTTAAAATGCATAATGTATGTCTGAATTGTCAATATAAATGAGTTAGATAAAATTAAATTATTAGAAGAATTTTTCACTATGTAACAAAAAACAAAATTTGTTTAATTTACTGTTTGTATTTTGAGAACGATTTCCGAAGTGGAAATTGAAACGTCAATAAACGTATTTTTATCTTTAATTGTGGCTTATTCCCAGTTAAATAGTAATTAATTTAAAATGCCACAAGAAAATAGCTTCAGAACAATATTAAAATAACCAATTTAAAATTATGTTTTTTAAATTATTAAATAAACCTTTATGTTTACCGAGTTATTCTGCAGCCGCCAACCCCAGCCACAGATGCAGTTGTTGTATTCATAAAATATAATTCCGAAAGCCTCATTTCTGTCAAATTTTGCAAGGTTTCTGCAGCTTTTGGACCTTGAAGGGCCAGCAAACTTCTCCCACTTGGTTCATAAAATTTTATGTTTATATCGGAACCAGAATTATTCTTCTTATACGTATCCTTAAAGAGAAAAATAACAAATTTTAGTTGTTAATTCATTTAGTGATTTTTACATAAGAATTGTTAAAGGATATAAAAGAAAGAATTACAGATTATGGTATAGACGTTTTTATCGTTCTTGGCGTGTGCGTGTAAGCAATAAGTTGTTTCATCTGTCTTTCCTTGTCTAAGCTCGATTCGTTTACCTCCTCCAGTGGCAGCTATCTGTATTCGTAAAGAGGCCAAACTTATCACCGACACCGTATCGGCCAAACGCATCGTTGTTATTGCTACAATACTGGGAGACGTGAGTGTCTCTTCGTTCCATTCTCATCGCACTTTACCATGACGAACGTGACTCGCACAATTGAATTACGCATCTGTGTATCAGAGAGAGACGAATATTAAAAATTCCGTAGTAGCTTATTTCAGGCATACGCCAAGAACGATGAAACCAAGTTTAACACTAAAAACAACTACAACAACTCTACAACAACAAAAAAGTTAGGGTATCATGCTAATTTCATCTAGAATCATGGAATCCAGAAGGCTAAAAACAAATATTATCATCCTGGACGAATTCTGGATAAGAAACGAACCTGACGGAAAACATATAAATGAAAATTACAGGATATGACATATACAAAAACGATATCAGCATAAACTCAGAGACAAAAAAAATACTCAGGCACCAAATAATAGAGTATCAACCTAAAAAATGAAAAGAGTACTACATAGTAGTAAACGGGACACAATGGTTGGAATGGCGCACTAGTTACAATTACAAAATTCATCTAAATTAATCTTAATTAATCTAAATACTACTAGTTCACACCACTTAATCAACTTTTTTCTGAGTTTTAGGTTATCCAAAAACCGAAAGCAATTTTCACAAGTACCCCAGATGGATCAAGCGCGATTCCTGAGCATTGAGGGCATGCATCGTGTAATACGGGCTTGTTAGCCAGGCCCTCCGAATAGTTGGCTGGTGAAGTAATCAAACATCGTTTGCCAAGTTGGCAGCCGATCGTTCGGCATACAAAAAAGCCCAATGCAGAGAGCCAGTGATCAAGCCTAAAATCTAAGGTCACTGGCTCGCTGGAGGGACACACGTTTGGAGAAGAAGCAATTCTAGAAGTTTGACAAAGAGAACAGTAAATCATGGAGAAAGGGACACAAGGCTACAAATACTAAAGCGGCATCCCCGCAAAAATGGCCTCTCAGATGGCCCATTTCCAGTGCATCCAAGATAAAAAACAAGAGTAAAGCTTCTCCAATGTTGTCTGCGATTGGGAAAGGTTAGAGGTACAAAACTACAAAGATATCGACAGTTTATGCCAATTCCTACAAATACGAGAAGCAAAAATGAGAGAAAGAAAAATAAGAAGATCGCAAGAAAATTAAAGACTACTCGAAAATCAAGACTATAGAGATAAAAGACAAAAGTTTAGGAGAGATTACACAAAAAGATAATTTATTCTTAGAAGAGAAAACGAAAATAGAGACAACGGAAGAGGAAATTATGAACAAAGAAATCGGCAATGCGAGGACAGATATCGAGAAAACCAAAACAGAAATAACACTCGCACATATTATCAAGAAAACAGAAAGAATAGTAGACGAAATGAACAGAAAATTCGTGGAAACCGATACGGGTCCCACAGACCAAGAGAAAATAGAAGAGAGATCCACAACACGCAAATAGAAAAATATGAGGACGAAAGACAGAGCGACGGAAGAAGGAGCACAGAAAAACAGGAGGCGTCTTTTCACGAAGGCACTCACTAGATACAAAAAAACAAACAGGAATTTTTTGTCACCCGAAGGAATTTATTAAATTGGCAGGAAATGATGATAAAAGAAGTGGAGTAAATTCAAAGTTTGTAGATGATTTTATCAACGGGAAACTGATTAAAATTATGATAGCTATCGGTTCGGAAATTACATTGATCGACAGAAAATTAATAGAAGAGGTTAATTTAACAAATTTAATTTACAAAATTCTCAGGATAAATAAACGGACTTTGGCATCTATAAATGAAGGAATACGAATAAGGGTACAATTGAGTAAGAAATTTTATGCACTACAATGTGTTATAATACCAAACATGTTGCATGATATGATCGTAGGAATAGATGTATTGGCAGAAAAACCTGACGTCATAGATTTCAAAAATAACACGAAAAAAATCACGAAGGAAAACGAAGAAGAACAGGACATACTGGGAAATGACAAGGAACATAAGAATCAGAAAAATGATGATTTAGACAAAGAACAAACAGTGAAAATGAATTTGGCAACGAAGCAAGGACAGAGAAAGAAGAAAAAGCAGAAAACAAAATTAGAAAAGTAGATAAGGGATTCCACAAAAGACGAGATGAGCCCAAGAGAAGAAGAAAAAGAAGAACAGCTGCATTTTTTAAAAACAATGATTATTTAAATTCAAGTTAGAAAATCGTAATCAAGAGATAAAAAGGCTGAATACTGTTACGTAAAAATTAGTCATATTAAAAAAATTGTAAACATGTTGTTTATTCACTAATATGTTGTAGATTCTACGAGACCCTTAATTAAGTTATAAGTGTTACAAATATTGAACCTTTAGTATATTAAAATAAGAACAATAAATTAGAATTAATACCAACATTATAGTGGTGTGCAGAAGTGAGGTATTTTAAATAAAAAAAAAAGTGAAAAATGGCGACGATTTACGAGCTTATAGTTACGAATTTAAGAAGGCACATTGAGGACAGAGAATTAGCTTCTACCGGAAAAAAGGCTGAGTTAGTCCAACGACTAAAGAACGCTTTAGAGGAAGAGGGTTTAGAACCGAAAACTTATATATTTGAAGATGCTGTCATCTCGTCTATTTCGAGATTAGAGTACAAAGTTTCCGGCGATATTTCGAAAATTTCCGGCGACATCGCTTCTTTAGAAAGCAAAGTTTCTAACGAGATTTTTTCTCTGGAAAGCAAAGTTTCTGCTAACATCTCTAAACTCACATCTGAGATGTCTGCCCTCGACGATAGAGTGTCTTCGTTAAAAAACCAAGTTGCCACCAATATGTTGGCCTTCGAAGAAAAGATGAAAGATGGAAAGGAAGATTGAGGGAACAGGAATAGCAGAGAGAGTAAACAATCCAATTACCGTAGAGACAAAAAAAGACGAGACGAAATGTAAGTTGGAAACACGGCCGAAATTTGAAGGAAGTGGAGGTTCTGTTCATGTCAAAGTCCCAACTTTCGACGGAAAATCGTCATGGAACAACTACATGAAACAGTTCGAATCAGCTGCAAGAGCCAATGGATGGTCTGAAAAAGAAAAGGCTGTAAACCTGACTATCGCTCTTCGAGGAGATGCTTTAGATGTGCTTCAGATAGCCGTAGAGGAGACGGATGATTTCGAACAACTCAAGAAAAGGTTAAATATGCGATATGGCCACGAACATTTGGAGCATGTATATCGCAGCTTAAAAATCGAAGACAAAATAAAGATGAGGCTCGTCAAGAATATGAGGTAGATATTGCCAGATTAGTACGATATGCTTATCTAACAGCTCCCGAAGACATGATGGAAAAGTTGGCCGTTCAAACGTTTATTGATGTACTTAGCTACTATTACAGCTAACGAGCTAACACTACGATTAACTCGTCACAAAACGCTGGTTGATGTCTTATCCGCCGCCCTCGAATACGAGTCAGCTATGTAGGCCTCTGACGGATACAGTAAAGTTAGCACTGTAAAAGAGGAAGGAGATGAAGATAAACTTGACCAGCTCGTTAATATGATGAAAATCATGACATACAAGAAAACAAAGACCATAAGACCGAAGACAAAACCAGAACGGGTCGGTCTTAGGGGAGCAGTTTCAACCCGGAACTTTTCCAAAGACCCTCTCATACTAATAGCTTCTTTGAAATGTCGTGAAGATAGTGTATATGTAGATGGAGAAATCTTCTTCTTCTTCTTTATGTGCCGTCTTCTACCGAAGGTTGGCGACCATCGTACGATAGGTTTCTCTGTTTTGTGCCGCATGAATTATGTTCGCAGCTTCTGGTATTTGAAACCATTCTCTCAAGTTTCTCAGCCAGGATTTCTTCTTTCTGCCCAAACCTCTTCTACCTTCAATCTTGCCTTCCACTATAAGCTGTAGCAGACTGTACTTATCATTACGGAACACATGGCCCAGGTATGACGCTTTCCTCCTTTTAACAGTTGTTAACAATTCCACCTCTTTACCCATTCGTCTTAATACCTCTGTGTTGGTCACTCTGTCTGTCCAAGGTATTCTCAGTATGCGTCGATACAGCCACATTTCTAGAGCCGCTAACTTCTTTATAACTGCTGCTGTTAACGTCCACCCTTCTACGCCGTAAAGTAGCGTAGAGAGTACGTAGCATTTCGTGGCGCGCCATCGGAGGTTAATGCTTAGGTTGCGGTTGCTTAAAAGCTTTCTCATTTTGATGAATTTGGATCTTGCTATTTCAATTCGGATCTTAATCTCTACTTCTGGGTCCCACTTGTCATTTACTATATATCCCAGATATTTAAATCGGTGTACTCTTTCAATACGTTCGTCTTCAATATGCAGGTCGATATGTTGAAATTTTTTTTTACTGATCACCATAAATTTAGTTTTCTTTCTATTGATCTTCAGTCCAAATCGGCTGCCAGTTGTATTAACTCTATGTAGCATCATCTGTAAATCTTCGATGTTATCGGCCAGTATAATAGTATCATCTGCATATCGAAAATTACTTATTGGTACGCCATTAATCTTGATGCCCTCATTGTACTCTTCTAGTGCCTCTAGAAATATTTGTTCCGTGTACAGGTTGAAAAGCAGTGGCGAAAGAATACAGCCCTGTCTTACCCCTCTAGAAATGGTTATGTTTTCACTCACCATATGTCCATTCTTCATGTGGGCTGTTTGATTCCAATATAGATTTTTTATAATCTGGATGTCCTTAGTGTCAAGTCCTGAAAGACGTAATAGTTCTATGAGTTTGTCATGTTTGAT